GAGCCGCCCGGGACCGGGCCATGCGGGTCGCGGGGTCCCCGGCGCCGCATTCGGCGAACACCGCGCCTGGCGAGGCACCGGAGGAAACCGGCAACGGGGAGCTTGGCGGGTTCGCGTAGGGCAATGTGAACCGAGCGCCCCTTCCGCTTACCTTGCAGGTGAAAAATAAAGCACCCGCCGAGGTTCAGATCACAGCGGAGCAGCTTCTGAGAGAGGCCAAGGAGAGGGAACTCGAGCTTCTCCCGCCGCCTCCGCAGCAGAAGATCACAGATGTTGAAGAGCTAAATGACTATAAACTCAGGAAAAGAAAGGTACAATAAAATAACAAAGCTAATCTCGACCCTTAGGTAAAGCACTAAAACTCTACTATTTTCAACTTAGACAAGAGGTAGTTTGTATTCCTTGTGGACTTTCCAGGCAAGCACCCATTCTTTAGAAACCGTAACTGCTTCATGCTACTTTTGTGCAAAACCTGCAGGTTAAACCTGTGTTGTTTAACGTGGAATTCGGTAGCAGACATCTCCCCTGTGCCCATGTTTGGAACACTTAAACGGTTGTTACATCTATGGGTTACAGGCACTTCCTGCATTACCACCAGCATCTGGCCAGGCAGCATAAGACAATCGTGGTTCAGTTTGTTGCTTGAGTAAGATATTTCAGGTATCAGGTTGCAGGAACTCAAGTTTAGTCCTGTAGGACCATTCTACACTTCTAGCTGCTTTGCCCAGCAATTTTTACCGTGCTGTTTTAAGTATGATTCGTTATCACTTCTGTACAGGTGTAAGACATTGGGCATTCATTCCTGTAATAATAATACCCCATAAGGCATTTGTAGTACTGGTCTGCAGAAGGATTTCTTACAGGTATAATTCTCTCCCCAGACTTTTGAAGACAACATAAGAAAGAACAGGACTGTTATCAGTAACTGGATCAAGTACGCACAATGGGAGGAGAGCCTGAAGGAGATCCAGAGGTAACCAGGATGCAGCTGCAGGCAGCTCCTACAAACCTTTTCAGGCCCACGTTGCCAAACATCAGGGTCCTGGAGGCACATTATACCTGCAGCATACTCGTGTTTTGCAGAGCCCGGTCCATCTACGAGCGCGCCCTGGACGTGGACTACAGGAACGTCACGCTATGGCTCAAGTACGCCGAGATGGAGATGAAGAACCGCCAGGTGAACCACGCCCGCAACATCTGGGACCGGGCCATCACCACCCTGCCCAGGGTCAACCAGTTCTGGTACGTTGGCAGAGCCCAGAGCAGCTCTTCTGCCTCCAGAGACTGCACGTCGTTTGTCTGCTCTGGGATCGTGCCAGAGTGCCTTGTTTCCTGTTTCTCCAAGTCCTCAGGCTAGTCTGAAAACAGAGGAAGGCTAAAGTTTTGGAGTGGTTTTGTATTTTCTTTAAGTGGCCAGGGCATTGGGAGAGAAGGATGTTTGTGTGCTTGCATGCTGCCAGTCACAACTGTGTCTACAGGCATTTCTGGGGTGGAGGGGGATAGATGAAGAAACCTCAGGGATGCTGTTGCAAAGCACTCCAAAACTCCTTGAGTTGCTGTGTTCACTATGCAATTGTAGATGCTCAATCTTCTTTCCCAAGGTACAAGTACACTTACATGGAGGAGATGCTGGGGAATGTTGCTGGGTCACGTCAGGTGTTCGAACGTTGGATGGAGTGGCAGCCAGAGGAGCAAGCCTGGCATTCCTACATCAACTTCGAGCTGAGATACAAGGAGGTGGACAGGGCACGAAGCATTTATGAGAGATATATCCTTTTCTGTGCCTTGGAACACCCACCCAAGTTCAGTCCTGCATTCTTCCTTTTCTTAGTTATTCCATCTCTGGCAATATCTCTGTGCTCCTCTTCACTGTGGGGTGCTGAGAACAAGCCACCACACCAAGAGCCAGCAGCAGGTATTAAGTGTTTAGGGAAAGCCATCGAATTCAGTGAAGTGGCTGTAGGCCCTGCCACAACATCTATATTTAATTTCGCTCGTGCACCCAGCTTTTTTGCAGTCATTTGTTTCAGACTTCTCCTCGCCCTTTATCCGGTTTTTAATCCCTTTTCAAGTTCTCAGTAAGACATGTCCTTGCATAAACCCACCTTGGGAGCGGTTTGGCGCAGCCCTTGAGCCCGTAGTCACCGGGGGGAGCACAGCTGGAGGGGCCCCGTTCAGGCAGCGGCGTTTCCTTAACCGAGCTGCACTCGTGATCGTGCACCCCGACGTGAAGAACTGGATCAAGTACGCGCGCTTCGAGGAGAAGCACAGCTACTTCGCCCACGCCAGGAAGGTGTACGAGAGGGCCGTGGAGTTCTTCGGGGAGGAGCACATGGACGAGCACCTCTACGTGGCTTTCGCCAAGTTCGAGGAGAACCAGAAAGAGGTAAGGTCTTCTCAGTAACACATCAGACTAATGACAAGGTTTTTCCTTGAATATCAAACCCCAAAGCCATTTCACCGCAGTGCTTGTGGTTTTCATCACCTTATATGATGCGCTGTTAGTCTGAGTTTTTTTGCCTGCCCTCTAGTTGCCTTTTGGTGATATCAGGAAGGTGTGTTCTAAGCAAGGTGGGCATCAAATCTGCCAAGCCTGAGAGCAGCAGCATCAGACCAAGCATGTATCCACAAGTCTGTGAGGGTCCAAGAGGTTGTAGGCCTGCATGATAAAAAACTGAACTGGCCTGAATGTTTTTCCACTGACAGCCTCTGTTAAGTTCCCAGGCTGGTAAGGAATAAAAAAGGTTCTGTGAATCCCAAACCCACACCTCTTAAATGTGGTTTAAATATTCTAAACCTGTAAATGAAAAAGAGATGGTGGGGGCTGACATTTACAGATTTCCCTCCCCCTCAAAGTTTACTCTTCAGGGAGATCTGCATTAGTCCTGTTCTAAAATAGTCGCTTACATAGAGATGTTCCATGATTCTGTAGTCTATTAAATATTGCCAAAAACTCATTAAGAAACTGTGGGGTAGGACTGAAACTGCCTTGTAAATATTATTCAAATGATATTTAATGTTTTCAGTTTGAAAGAGTAAGGGTGATCTACAAGTATGCCCTGGATAGAATTCCGAAGCAGGATGCCCAGAATCTCTTCAAGAATTACACCATTTTTGAGAAGAAGTTTGGAGACAGGAGGGGAATTGAAGACATCATTGTCAGCAAGAGGAGATTCCAGTATGAAGAGGAGGTGAAGGTATGTGTTACAGGTACCCCCCAGGCTCATTGTGCATCCAGCTGCTGCTTCAGGTACAGCAGTGTCTTGTGATGTGAAGGCTGATGAGTTTTACATTATCCTTGATAGTCAAAAAAAACACCAAGAGAATACTAAGACAACGTTCATTTTGGAGGCTGAATTCTATCCGTGGAGAAGAGAATGATATTTGCACTCACTGCTTTTTTGTTTCTGCTTTCTAATGTAGACTGTGCAGGCAAAGTTTCTGATTGAACTCAGAGCTTGGTACCCTTTGAAGCGACCTGAGGGCATAATGCAGTTTAGCTTGTAACTTACTACTCCAGTTATGGGGTGACCATTCCAGGACACCTCACCTGTGTCCAGGTAGCTTTTTAGGAGGAAACAGCTGTGCCTCTCCTGTCTGCTGTTCACTGAACACTGCACATTTCACCACGCCCTCATCCCCTCTCACACTTCATTTAGAAAATATTTGTAGGCACAATAAAACCAAAACTCACTTTAACCCAGAAGCTCTAATGTG